GGTGAAATCATACATCAGGTTTCCGCTAAAACAATGCATTATTCATTCTAGGTAGCGCAAAGAAATGAACCTCAGTAAAATTAAAGATCTCTAATCAGTTGCTTTTTCATAAACTTACCGAAATCTTGGTGAAAATGTAAAGAAGTAGAGAGAGGCCTGCCAGATAGACTTGAATTCGATTTCCCCCAAATCGACGACTCATGTAATCGGGAAGTGTAAAAGCCTGGAATTTACATGAAATTTCAATAACGCTAATGTCGATCCTTATGCAGAGCTTAAAAATTGAGTCGGAACTTACTCCGCTTGCAATATACACCGGCAAAAATACCCAACCCAAAAGTTGTAGCAGAAGGGAAGCCTGCAAATAAAAAGAAATAGCAACCGCAATTAGTACAAGACAGACTGAATAATCCTACTGGCACATACTCAAGGAAAAACACACTTATTAAATACATCCTCAAGTAAAGACACATTTAATGTTATAAAAAAGCCTGCAGGTACTATTCACATAGAACAACACATTTGATAAAATTGAGTAATCGGATTCAATAGTTATCCCCAAAGCAGTTTACAGATTATAATTTTAAAATGAAACTGAAAACTTCATGAATGTCATTCTACTAATGAATTACTGTTTGAAATAAGCTGTTCGTGTCTTAATGTGTTAAACTAAAAACGTTCTCCCTTTCTCATACGACTGTTTTGCTGTTAGTAATTTTTAGGAATGTTTTGTGATACAAATTATAAAAGATTTACTGAACCGCCTTATTTATATAGCAATTAAGTTAAATTCTTTGTATAATGAAGCTTTACTGAATATCTCCTTATACCCTGTTAAACTCAGACCGTTGCTAATGAAACTGCTGGATGAGATATCCACATAATTGACAGACTCTCTTTCTAAACATTATTGTACAGGCAAACTCCAGTAATTTCCAACCAACTCTCCTTGCTATGTACAAATAGAACTACAATTTGTGATAATTTAAGTTTAATTTTCTTTCATGGAAAACAGCTATGTTGATTTTTTGTTTTAATTAATTCAACCAAACAACTTACGTTGAGCTCAAAAGCGGCAACGCCAATGCCACTTGCTGCTCCAGCACCGGCTAATCCAATAAAATGCTCACTGCCAATATTGCTGGCAAAGAGAGAAGCACCTATCTGAAAGGCACTGAGTTTGAGAATATTGAGGGACATACTGGAAGCCAACTCATGAAACGTCCGGCAAGAAAATACCCAGTGACGGTGCCTCTCTTAGACGCAAACATTGCCTGTCAAAACACAGAAGCCCATTTAAAGTGAATAGTAAATAAATACGGATTTCATGAATAAATGTAAACATTTCACAATACGATGAAGCAACAGAACGCTTTACCACAATACATGCAGGATGTCATACGAAAAACGACTCAATGCTATTAAAAAAATCTTGATAATTTTGAGTAAAGATGAGAAGGGAAATCCTGCCAATTTCCATAAGCCACATTTCCAAGAATGACTACAAAACCTAGGAAATGTTCAGGCGGCTCAATGCAATCGAGGTTTTTACTATGACATATCCGGAAGCTCGGAAAGCAAAGGTTCGATGATCCTGTGGAAATTTGTAACACCTCTGATAAATGTCTTCTCGTTTTTTTGGCTACATTTTTAGCCCTTTAGAGACCGTTACCATTGTTCTAATGTCCCAACAACCTACTACCAGAATTCTCTTTAAAAAATTTTATTCCGGTACACATTACTCTATGTTTATTGGACTAACAGAAAGCACCATGTCAAGCTGACTCCAAATGCACACTAGTCCTCCTTCAGATCATTTGTAAACGTGATTATCTCACAAAAGTACACTTGTCATAACAATTCCTCTGTAAATCACGCAGTAAAGTTATTCAGTCTCTTAAGTGCTTCTGCTTAACTTTTCGTCTGCCTTGGACTTCATTTCTAAGAATCTTCTAGTATAGACGACGCGCTTCTATAGTTTCTCATCACGTTTATTGGCATAGCTTTTTTATCTTTTTGGGATGTTAAAAGGCACAAAAGAGCAGGTAAATATTTAAAATTCCTAATAAATATCCCTGGTGTTCCTCAAAGTGCCCTGCATTAACCCCTTTCATTTATTTGTATGTTGGTGACCTTCCTCCGGTTCCCCTGTTACTATTCTTATACGATTATCTGTTGTACATTATGCACTGATAAAGAACTATTTAACCATTCGCCTTTTATTTATTTATAAACTCTTGAATCTTCTCAAAATGGTTAGTTGCTCCCTAATAAGGCTGAGCATAATCCCATGTAGGTGTTCTGAATGTGTTCTCATCGGGATTTACTCCCTTTGGCGAAATTAGCCGCTTTTATGTATCCAGAACTAATATGTTTGCGTTGCAGTTACACCGAGCAGGAATTTTTTACTATTCATCACATATTGTCCACTTCGCACAAAGTAAGTTTCAGTTTTAGCAGACATGCATCAAATTTCCTTTCAAATTCGAAAGCGGAGACGGTTTTACGTCAAGTTTGATCTGTTTCTGTTTACTGACTTTACCGTATCGCACGCTTTCCAGTAACTTCTACAGCACCATAGTACTGGAAGGATTTGAAGCACTTATATCAATGCACACTTAAAAATAGTGATTGTAATTTTAACAACATTTGAAACAAATTAGTTAATTAAGTAGTTATTGATTAATTTAAATGAAACATGTTATTCAGGAGATTAATGAAGTCCGATCTGACATCATTCACCTTTAGATTCATTCATACATCGACTGCTCGAACACAGTAGCTACTTTTGTAAAAGGCGAAAGAGGGTGTTCTTATGTTTCCCTTAATGCACAAGACTCTTACTTTGGTCCATTTGGGACTTCATTTTAGGGAGTCCTATTTGAGCCCAGTTGAAGTCCTGAGTGAAACTATGTATAACTAATTTTGTTTTATTAGTCTCATAGAACACATTGAGAACAACAGAGTGGCGAACAAGCTCGTTTTCAGTTATTCGTGATCATGCCATTACAGAACATCATTAGGACCCGAATCTCTCATTCCCTGTTTTGTTATTTTCGTTAGCCACATTTAATGTTGTGTAAAGGAATGATTACGAATAACTGAAAACAAGCTAGTTTGTCACGCTGTTGTTCTCGATATAACTGACTTCATAAGAATAATGAAAAATGAGTAACGCGACTCTCTTAATTAAACGCATAAAAAAATTTCATCAGTTCCCCAAAATGATGCACTTTCTTCTTCAATTTGTAGTTTTGTTGTGTTTCACTTCTAAATTAATTTACGTAATCAGTGACTTTTTCTTATGTTAACTGCGTGAGCTGTTTTGCAACTAATCAGATTTTGCACTTTACAGGGTCATCAGTGTTACACATGATGACATAACTTCTCTTTTTTCATCTATCACAGCAGTTTGCCCACAAAAACAAGGGACAGAATGGGACAGCCAAGCTAACGCTTATTAATTTCTGAAGATTTTTTCCACAGAGTACATATCAATCGGGAAAATGGTAGGGTTAAACTTATTTTATGCATAATATAATTTTTGGGGAAATTCAGACGAAGCTGTATCCACTAAACAGAACATTAGATTCACTATGACGTAGTTGACTCAAAATGGTCCAGCCTGATCTGTAATGATGCAATAGATATGTACAATATCGAATGAACGCACACTGGAAACTTGGTAGTTGATGTGATTTATCACACAAGCGACACTTTGGTTGAGCGGTATTTAAACAATTGCTGGGGAGATGTACAACGAATGAAAATGGGGATGAAGAAAGTAAACATCACACAAAAGAGAATGAAATAAGGAGAACACACCAGGAGGCACATCTGACTGAATTAACTCTAAAATATTGTACACTTACTGTATTCAGTCGATAAATTTTAAAATTAACAATTTAAATTGTTCTCAGGTAGCAATTTCGTAAAAAGTATTCAATAAAAACGTGTGTTTAGGTCAAATATATTGGCTACGAAACGATCAAACACGCAATTTTACCAGTTTCCAGAAAATATAGTTTTAAGAATACTGGTATAAAGCCCTCACTTTTATTCCCCTTATGTAGATAGGAATTAGTCAAAACACGATTGAGCTGCGCAAGGTAAATATGTGTATCACGTCTTAACCTAATGATCATTCAAATGATCTCGGACTGTGTAATGACAGCATCGACCCTCCCCGCAAAAGCACATCTATCATATTTGAACCTTGTTGTTTCACTAGATACAGATCACCTAGTTGGCCACGGGACGTTGATTTTCATTTTTTGCAAGCTTACACACCTGTGCGCTTCTCTCACTTTGCTCCACAGATCATACCATTACCACCGTCGTTGAGGTTTTGTGATATCAGTCATTCACTAGCACTGTGCCCCTTGAGAACGGCTGCGCTACATTTGTTCACCGCCGTTGCATTCTGGAATTTATCGTCCACATGGCTCAACATGCGTGCTTTAAGCTTATTCACAAAAGAATTCATGTGAAAAAATAAAGGAAGTTGTGATGAAAAATCATGCTGCTTTTTCGGATGCCAGTCACTAGGCAACCGCGAAAGCACTCCTAGTGCGGAAAAAGCATTCATGCCATTTGGTAAACCGCTCTCGGTCACACTAATCCCAGCAAGATGACTGTAGCTATAATTGTAAATAAAAATATCCGTTCTGTGTTTGGGAAGCTTCTAAGTTTATCCTGCTTACTCCAGCGAAAGGAATTTCGTACCTCTTATGTTTTAAGTCTTCAGGATTCAAGGCTCAATTATAATGTGGAAAGTTTCGTTGTCCAACTGAAAACTTTCTTCTGCTTCGGACAGAATAGATAACGGTGTAGAAAGAAGTTGAGGGGCAATGTGATCGTGTACATTAATTCTAAGTGATGTGGCAAATCCGAAATGCTTTTTGAGTATTCAAAAAATGGCATTAGTTGTTTGACTGACCTTTTATTCCAAATGTTTTTACTTTCTTTTTATCGTAATTACTACTTTATACTTTGCAACCCACTGAAGGCTTCCAGACATTGACAATTTTTATGATCATTCTCTACCGGTTATTGCTCCACCTCTTGCTGACAGCTTGCACCTAATAGCTGGTAACTTTATCCACTTCCTTGCTGCACCCTTTTTTTCTTTCTAAGCCTCCGTGACCCACTAGAGGAACTCCACATCTGGAGCATATAATTGTGAATCAAACTGACACATTTTCTACTAAACATTTCTCCCACTTCGGCACCAGTGATCATAACCTGATCCTGGTCAAACATAAGATTTACCTACACTCAGGACATTTTTCGTTTACTCGACTTAATCACATTCTGTTCCGTCAGAAAAATCTTTCTCCAGATAATATTGCTCTCCTGAGAGGGTCTCTTGAAATAGTTACTGACTGTTTCCCTTTTGAACACAACCTGATTGTCCAATATGACATTCATAATAGACGTATTGAACCGTTTTTGGCATGCGCTCTTTTGTGATAACTTTGTTTCCTCAACAAGGCAGAATATCAACACCTTTTCTTAAACGTATTCGTCTTGAAAATGACAGTGCATTTAAGAATTAAACGCAACGAATATCTTTTCTGACCAAGACTGAAACAAGAGGGTTGGATTATGCAAGTCGGCTTGGGGACTATAAACTGTAAATCTATGTGGCGTGAAAGCAAACTGCTCTACAGGCAGAAGAAAATGATTTCCAGTTCTTCTGTTGAGAGTGAACAACTAAATGCTGCATTTATTCATTATTCGTCTGGCACATGCCGCGGTTATATTGACTCAAGTTCTTCAAACAGCCCATCCTTGTTTGAGCCCCTTACCTCTGGTGAAATGCATAAACACATGCGTTCTCTCAAGGTATTGACCGCACTTAGTCCGGAAAACTTAAGTCCTACTCTCCTTAAACACGGTGCTGTGTCACTGTGTTGCAATTTTGAAGGCGAAGCTAACCTTTCACCTGAACTCCGAATACGTCTGGAGTGCTGGTGTCCGGTGAGAATCACACCCATTACCATGGAAATGACAAAGGCTCCAAATACAACACATTTCAAGCTGATTTCTCCCACTTCTCTTGGTTTGAAATTGATGGAGCAGGCAGTTCTGCATACGTTTCCGCTATTTTTCATCTTCTCCATGACATTTATCAATTTGCATTTAAAGATAACCACTCTACATTGGATGCCGTTTCTCCTTTAATTCACTTAATCTGCAAGTCTCTGAACCAGAA